GCCCGCCGCGCGGGCGGTGGTCGGAGAAAGGGGCGGGGTGCGTGCGGAGACCCGGGCAGAGGTCGGGGCGGAGGGGAGAGGACCGACAAGAAAGCGACGACGGAGGTCCCGGCGGCTGTCACAGGCCGAGCCCCGCGCCCCGCCTGCAGCTCGAGTCCCGCGGCAGGTACTGGGGGCCGCGCCCGCGCGCACGCCAGGCAGCGCGCCCCGAGGTCCCGCCGCAGGGGGTCCCGGGGACCCCTCGGCGACGCCTGTCAAAGCGGCGAGGGCGGGCGAGCTGCAAACACGCGAGGCTTACTTAGGGGCCCTTTTGGAATCTGGGGTTTTCTCCTTGCGTCTCCCCCGCCCCCTCCCCCCCCGGGCTTCCGAGTGTACGTGGGAATGCGAACGGCATGACTTCTAGTGACTTCGGTTTGGAGTTTGAATTGGGGCTTTGAAGTTTGTGCAAGCCCCAGGACCGGATGTGTCAGCCATTCCGTTTGAAAGCGGTGGAGCCTGCGCTCCGCAGGCGCCCCGGCGCGGTTCGGGGCGCGCGGCGGCGCCGGTGCGGTGCTTCTGCGGGTGCAGCTGCGCCCGCCGCCGGCGGGAGTCCAGGGGCCCGGGAGTGCGGGCCCCGGCGGCGCCACGGGGACCTGGGTTGCTTAGGAAGTAAGACGGGTGTAACCTGACTCCGACCAGAGATTCAGGTCCTGACCTTGATTTTTTTTGTTTTGCAACTGGAACTTTTATGTAAAAAAAAAAAAATTTTTCATTTAAGCCATCTTTGTTGTTGTTTTTAATATGACTCCTGTATGCAAAGCGCAAAGTCTTCAGGGGTATTTTGAGTTGCTGGAAATAATGTGTTCGGGGCAGTCAGTCAGTCAGTCATCCTTGGCCCTGTAGCTTCCTGACCCTTTTGTCCAGGTTTGTATTCCTTGTGAGACGACTTTGTGACAGTGGAAATTTTGGTTTTGCTTAATTCTCTGGAGTGATTTGATGACATTATTTGTTTAAAGCTACAGTTCATTTATTACTTGCAAGACTACTCCTCCACCACCCCCAAGTAAATTTTTTAAACTGAAAAAAAGTGTTCTACCATAGCAAGATTGAAATAAAAGGAGATTGTGACTGTGGTAGGTTTTGGGGTTTGTTTGTTTGTTGTAACTTGTACATATAACTTAGTTTTACAAGAGTTTTGCTTCTCTGAGTTTCCTATTTCTATGCAGACTGGACTAAAACTTAACTGGAAAAAAATGTTTGAAAGGAAACTATAGTTCACCTCCAGATAAAAATTAGACCCCAAAGGTGAGAAATTATGTTCAGCTGTCTTTATGATACATACCTTTTGGGTACAGTAAATGTTAACCTTCTGATCATCTCATTAAGCTGTGAATGTAGTAAGAAGCCAGCCACTGTAAAACTAACACACAGAGTTGTTTGGTGTGATTGCCTGACACAAAATAGGAGATCTAAAGTGGAAGCAAATAGAACTAAGGGTAGAGTAACATGCTCAACTTTTGTTTTATAACCTGGGTTTCTTCCCTACTTTATTTAAGGGGTGGATTATAAATTGCATAGTATGTGATGTAGTGGGCTAATCGGCATAATCAATTATTTTAAGACATGAATTTGATTAGCCAGAATGCTTTTTTTTAATTCATTCCAAATATAATAAAAATACTTCATTTAGAGTTAAATGCTGGTTCCCTTTTCTTTTAAAATACACTGCCACACACACCCCACACCTTGTCTTCCTTTTCAATTGGGTTTAAAAATCACTTCAATCTCTTGGTCGAAACACTGATTATAAGCAGTTGAATAAAATCAATCTCAATTGAACTTTACATCATACAATTTTTAATACTTTTAGGAAAAAAGTCTACCGGTGAGACATGAATTATCTTTATGTTAGAGTAGGAATAGTCTGAAGACCCCTTCTCCCTAAAGACCATGTTTAGTTGTTGTTGTTTTTAAGAATTGTGTGATCTTGATATGAGAATTTCCTTTAGCTTCTGTTCTTGTCTGTAGAAACTGAAAGTGTGGCAAGTACTCTTGTGAGGTATAAATTATATAACTATTACTAATTTTAAAAATTGAAGGTTTAGAATCTGGCCCACTTCTTCAGTTTCACAACTGAAATCAGTGGAGGTTTTGTTGCCTGCAAGTGGCGCCCAAGGGTTTTTCATTTTTCTTTATATGTAGTACAGAATTAAGAGTGTTTTTTTTCCTGTTGACTGTCTTTGAAGAAAAATTACAGTGTTGCTCTTCATTGAACAGGCTATTGTGAGTTTAGTAGATATAATTACCCTATCCTATTTTGGTAACTTAAAAAGGCCAAACTATCAATTTGCTGGCCCCACGAAAGAACAAGATATGCTGTACTTGTTAATGTTAGTTTTGTTTAAAACTGAAGTTATTACATAGCCTGCTTTTATATCCTCATACCCCTCAGCTTTCATTTCCTTTCAGAAGCTGCTACGCTAAAAATACAATTCTTAGTGACCTTTTACCAAAGGAGGTATCGTGCGTGACATCACCTAAAAATAGGTTTTTTCAGAATTAAGTTGGTGATGTTATAAAATAAATGGTTACATAAGTTAGTCTCCCATGAACTTAAAAGTTTTATAATATGAATTGTCTCCAGGTCTTTAAATCAAGTAAGAAACCAAATGTATTCTTCAAAGATTAATTTGATTAAATATAATTCTGAAAGAGAAATGTCAGTTGGAATTCTTGCCAACTTTTGTTTTCTTTCCATATCTGATTTTGGCAAGGGTGACTGGTTAACCAACATTCCTTAATACGTGACTTCCAATACACTATAATAACTCCATTTTGTTATCTACAAAAAAAACACCAGGAAGTTGCTCTGTTCATTGATAGTCTTTCATGTTGTCTGTATCAAACATAATATATTGCACGTTTTGGAAATCCTCACTGACATGGCAGACTTGAAGATTCCCAAACAGGGAGAGAGAGGAGTGTTCTTTTGCTTTCAACACAAGCAGGAGATCCAGCTGCAGCTTGCCTAGGCTGAGCCTGCGGATCAGTTCTTGACACTGGCTGTGTGCATTCCGAAGGAAGATAGGATGGGCCGGCAAGTAAAGGGGATTACCCTGACCTGAGGAAAAAGAGCTCTGCGTTAGAAAGCACGCTTGAATTTTGCAGCTCAGTATCAGTGGTCAGCGCTCTGCTGCTAAACCAAAGGGCTGGTGCTTTGAACTCACCAGCCCTGCAGGAGGACAACGTGGCAATCTGCTTCCATAAAGTTAGTCTTAGGAACTCTATGGGGCAGCTAGCTCTGTGTCCTTTGGGTCACTGTGAGTCAGAATCGACTGGATGGCAGCTGGTCAGTTTCTTGGGTTGGGGAACATTTCTGGACAAAAGGAATAGAAAAATTTGCCGTGGAAATGAAATAGTCTCTCGAGGCTACTTAAGAGCTGCAGCATTATGTACCTCTCACCTTAAAAGGCTTTTGCTTGTATCAGATACACGGAGTACATTCCTTAGATTTGGTTATTTCTCTCAGCCCTGGCCTCTTTCATCTCGGAAGTCAAAATGTCAAAACCACCTTAAAAGGTAAATGTGTTGAAGGAAGAAGGTATGAGGAAATTTATATGGGAACTTTAAAAAAAAATTATGGAAAACAAAAGATAATCGATTTTTCTAACTTTTTGAAGTCCCCTCACAGTTTTAGCAATAAATTTCAAATTGTTTTCATTTAAGAGATATATAATTTTTAGTATACGTACCAAAGAAATAGGAGTAAAGTTATTCATTGTAAAGCAGTGAGATTATTCAGGTGCGCTTTTCATATTGCAAAAACATGAGAGGCTTTTAATTGTATCTTCACATGTTCATCGAGCATATAGTTATGCTTAGGTGTTCTTTATAAAGTTGACTCTCCTGCCATCTGTGCCAGGCATGTCATGTACATCATCTCATTTAATTATCACCAGGGCACTCCAGGGAAGAGGCAGTAGTTGCTGTTTCTCGTAGGGGGAAGAAACTCAGCTGAGATTCTAAAGCCTTATCCAACTGAATGGCAGAGCTGGAGTCCAAAGCCTAGTCGATCTGAGCCCACGGCTCATTCTTTGTACCACTCTCAGTTGTCTCTAATTTTGTCTTCATATTAATTGTTTTGAGGAGGAAGTTTTTCCTCAGGAGTCGGAACAGCTCTCTCCTTGACATCACTGCCAGTACGCTTGCTGACATGCAAATGCTGAGGCCCAGAAATGGTACAGAGCAGTTAGAGGGTTGCAAACCAGGGTTGCTGTGAGTTTAAATCCACTTGCCGGCAGTGTTTTATATGCTGATGACTGGGAATTGACTGGAAGGCAGTGGATTGGGTTTTTATTTGCTTAAATATATAACACATGATTTTCTGTAACCTCGTCACCATATAATACAAGGGTGCTATATTTAGATCGCCCCATCAAATTAGATTGGGAATCTCTGGTTTTATAGGTGGGGCAGCTAACCACAAAGTCAGCAGTTTGAAGCCACCAGCTGCTCTGAGGGAGAAAGAGGAGGTTTCTCACTCCCATAAAGATGTACAGCCTTGGAAACTCAACAAGGGCAGTTAGTCTCTGTCTTATAGCGTCACTGTGGGTCAGAATCAACATAATGGCAGTGAGTTTTTAGGTCATGTTAGAGAAAAAGGGTAAAGGATCATTAGTTTGGAATGTTTCTTAGAATTTTTGATATATATGCCATGTTGAATCACGAGAGAAGAAATAACTGATAATAACATCACTGTTGATGAGCTCCACCTTTTGTTTTTGTTTTGTCTTTTTAAAGATTTCATATGAATCTCTACAAGTCCGTGGGCTAGGTAATAAGGGGGACAATCACCAAAGCCCATTCTCTGTGCTTGGTGGGAGATTTGAGTGCACATGTGTTTTATAATGTCGTGAGCATGTTTAAGTGTAAGAAAGAAGGTTGTCGAGAAGCAAACTAGACTGGATGCTCTACTTATTTGGCCTACAGCGCCTTTTTCAGGGGAAAGAAATCACTCAGCACCCCCCTGGTAAGTTTAATTCAGGACAGAGTGTAGATAACTGCTATTGCAGCCCCACTCGGGATGTCCCAGCACCACCCAGGAGCCGTTTCACCCACTTTTGGGAAACAGTAATCTACTACGGCCCGTACACTATTAAATTACTACAGTAGATGCATGGGTGCCTTCCCAACCTTTGAGGGATTAATTGGCCTTCTTGGCTAGTGGTTTGGGGTGGTAGGCTTGTTCTACCTTCTGCTTGCACCTTTGCTTGCCAGTGTCCTGCTCTTGTGTGTCTGGGTTAGGTAGGATAGATGGGTGTTGCAGTTTCGGGTCACAGAATCCTAGATAGAGAGGAGCTTCACACAACAGCCTGCAGTTGTAAGAGGAATATATACCGCAAGTTCAGGCATGGGGTTTTTTTTCTCCTCCCCCTTATAAGAAAATTCAACTGGAGGTATAGGTGTGGGGAACAAAAAATGGAATTATCTGCCAGTGTGGATTGTAAAATTCAATCTTTACTATTAGCAGCTGCAACTCTGCTTTAAAAAAAACACCCCAGCATAGGGAAATGTGAAATATGCTCTAGGCTGTGAAATGATCAGCAGGTATCCTTGTCTTCATTTATCCTCTGCCTGTCACAGTGGATTTCGGTATGCCTGGTATGGAGGGGAGTTGTGCGAGGGAATGAGGCCTCTGGGACACGCTGTTAGCTCGCTGGATTGAGAAAAGAGATGTTCCTGAGAGTACGCTTCCATCACCTGGAAATTATTCATGGGACAAGCAGACGTCTTAACGACAGGAGTTACGTCCCCGGAGCCACTGTGGTGCAGTTTATGCAGTCCACTAGATAAATTCTTCATATGAAATTCAACATGCTGCTGCTGTGTGTGTGTGTGTGCGCTGAGGACAGGGTAGACTGAATGGTGGGTTGAAGCTATACCCTGCCAAGTAGACAGTCAATACATTTCTTTATTGGTAAAATAATTGTTTAACTGATGTGTAACAAATAAGTTTTATATTGGTCTTACAGCATTTTGATATTAAATATCAGTTGCTAAAAGATTAGGAGCTAATTTAGCTCCTAGACTAGTGTCTGGTGCTCATGAATATTGAGACTCTCTTGAATACTAGAATGAGTTAATTTTTCCAAAGTGGTTATTTTTAGATTTGGGTGTCTGAAGATTGCAGTAACTTAATCAGGTACAATCTTATCGAGGTTCAGCATAAGACAAGTTTTGAGACAACTTCTTGAATTTGGGAACAAGCAGTTGACAATATTGGCCACTGTTATATAATGTGAAACAGTAATTAGCTTATGCTTAGTAACTGGATGTGAGTTACAAAATAATTGTAGCCCTTGCAAACTGTCAAATAATGAGAAAACAGAGTTCCTGTCACATGAAAAAGTCTGGATATGTGGGTTGGCAAACTCTTGGATGGGAGAACAAAGCCCTCTCTTGGGCTCAGGCCTTCTCTTATTCCATCTCCAGCACCCCCACTTCGGTTTTATTCATGCCCTTAGATCAATTATCAGCCACTAACCAGGGATTCCAGAAGCTGCATTTCCTTAGCCTTACTCTCTCCTAAACTCCAAAGTTATTAAATCTTCTTATATAAAACTTCCACTTGAATATCTTAAAAATACCCCACACTCAGTTATCTAAAGCCAAATTCACTACCTTCTGCTCTAAGCACTGTCCGTCTCCTGCAGAATCAGAACCTAGGAGGGATCCTTAATGCGTCCCACCTCCTTACATTCAGTCCATCGTCAAAACAGCTTTCCAATGCATTCCATTGATATAATGGCTAATATTCTTTACAGAGTCCCTGACCGGTCTGGTCCCTGCCTGGTTCATCTCAAATCACTCTGGCCCTTGTCTGTAGGATGGCTGCCTTTCACTTCCTCAAACTCTGCTCTCCACAGAGTTTCCTCAAACTCCTGCCACAGCCAGTGCACACAGCACACTCCCTCTACCAAGAAGCACACCCCCTCACTCCCAAGTTAACCCCTCAAATCATAGTCTGCCGATGCTTCCTCACAGAAGTCTGCCCTAATA